AAAAGGGTTGGTTGGCGGGGGGGGGCTGTGCCGGTGTCTGAGGCACGCACCCGCGCTCTGGTTTGCACGAGCGGGGTTTCTGGGAGGAAAGGGCTCTTTGGGCCACATCAAAGCCTGTTCTGTCTTCCCCCCACAGCACAATCTGGTGCCTCAGCCCCCCCTGCCCAAGTACATCCACCCCTCGGACGAGCTGATCCTGGAGGATGAGCTGCAGCGCATCAAGCTGGAGGGAGCGGTGGAGGTGCAGAGGCTGGTGACAGGTAGGGGACGATGGCCTGGGGTGGGAGCCATTGCACAGGCCCCAGTGCAGGGCTCAGCACTCGCTCTGTGCCCTAGGGACCATCTTGGCCGTGTACGGCTGCGAGCAGGACGACGGCAAGTTCCTGGTGCAGGATCACTGCTTCGCTGGCCTCCCCCCGCCACTGCCATGGAAAGGGCCCAGCTCAGACCGGTGAGTGCCCGTGGGGACAGGAGCGGGGTGGCACCATGTCCCTGAGCCCTGGGGACCGTTTCCTCCATGGGAGTTAGTGGTGAGAGACAGGGGTTGCATCCCCCACCCCTGGCTCTCTGAAGCCCCTTGGTGTGGACGGGGGTTTGGGTGCAGGCAGGGATGGGTGTGAGCTGGGTTAGGGCACAGGCAGGGGTTTAGGCGCAAGCAGAGGTGGGTGCAGGTAGGGAGTACAGGCAGGGTTTTGGGCGTGGGCAGGGGTTTGGGTGCAGACAGCGCAGGCACGAGGATGGGTGCAGGCAGGGTTTGGGAGCAGGCAGGGCTGAGTGCAGGCAGGGGGTGTGGGCATGGACAGGGAATGGGCACAGGCAGGGGTTTGGGCGCAAGCAGAGATGGGTGCAGGTAAGGAGTGCAGGCAGGGGTTTGGGCACAGGCAGGGATGGGTGGGAGCAGGACTGGGCGCAGGCAGGGATGGATGCAGGCAGGGGTTTGGGCACAGGCAGGGTTTGGGTGCAAACAGGGTCTGGACACAGACAGGGATGGGTACAGACAGGGAGCACAGGCAGGGTTTGGGTGCAAGCAGGGAGTGCAGGCAGGGGTTTGGGCACGGGCAGGAATGGATGCAGACAGCACAGGCAGGGTTTTTGGTGCAGACAGGGCTGGGTGCAGGCAGGTCTGAGAGTGCTGCCCGTTCCCATGTGCCCAGGTTCGTGCTGCTGGTGTCAGGGCTGGGGCTGGGCAGCGGCAGCGGCGAGGCCCTGCTGAGCACGCAGCTGCTGGTGGACGCGGTGACGGGGCAGCTGGGCGCCGAGGGCCAGCAGAGCTGCGCCGCCCTCATCTCCCGCGTCCTCCTGGCCGGGAACCTGCTGAGCCAGAGCACGCAGAGCCGCGACACCATCAACAAGGTACGGCCTGGAGGTGTCCCCCAGCCTCTGCAGCGCCCGCTGGGCCCGGGGAAGGGGCTGGAGGGGACACGGGGCTGTTCCCTCACTGCTCCCCGCTGACCCAGGCCAAGTACTTGACCAAGAAGACGCAGGCGGCCAGCGTGGAGGCGGTGAAGATGCTGGATGAGATCCTGCTGCAGCTCTGCGTGAGTGTGTTTTTTTTCTCCCAGGCAGGGGAGCAGCGCTGTGCCAGCACCCCGGGGTGGCAAACAGCCCTTCCCTGTGAGCACCGCATCTGGTGCTGCGTGGGGACGCGGCGAGAAGGGGAGGCGGCGCAGAGCCCGGCTCAGTTCCCTCTTCCCTTCCTGTGGGAGCCAAATCTGAGCGAGGCAGAGCCAGCAGCGAACTCCAGCTGGGGCTTTGCTCTGAGCCCCTTCAAAAGGAGGGGGAAATTTGGCCACTGCCAGTGACCCCCA